GAAGGCTTTGGCCATCAATGCCTCTGAGGTAAGATGATGTTTGTGTTCGTTCAGTGATGAATGTCCTTTCCTTCATTATTTTCTAAATGCATGTTACTTGCGCTTACTTATCAGTGCATGCAGTTCAACTTCCAGCTTGTGATTTGCAACAGATGTTAATTTTCGTTTAAATTCTTCATCACACTGGGGGTGATGCTGGTTGCTGAGAATATAAACATCTAGAGCAGAAGTTCTTCTAAAGCAGATGACATACTTTTTACCTCCCAAGATCTGTATTATCAGGAGTGGCTCCAAGGAATCTAATCCTGGTGTTTTGGCAACATTTTCATCTAAAACAGAGATCTGTAATGCGTCAGCATTGTGTCTTGATTTTTTTAAAACCCTTAAAGTAGCACATATGTTACTAAGATGGCTGTATAGACATCTTTCTGTGCCGCTTGACTTTATCTGTACTGTTTTATTTGTCCCTAGATTTCATCTATATACCTAGAGGAAAAGCTGTGTTCTAGTTTTTTGGTGACTTTACTTCCAATCATAGATTCAAAACAGGTTTTTGTATTTCTGAATGACAACGTTATAAACATTTTGTAGTTTGTCATCTATGTCATGTAGAAAGTTTCTGTATAAACTGTTTAAGCTACTGGATTGGCCAGAACAATTGTGAAGAGGAAGCGGGGGGCATGCTAGAAGACACCTTTTCTTTAGCAAGTAATTTTGGTCTTGCGTTTGAGGTGCTTCAATAAGAAGTTCAAGTGACTTTTTCCTGTGCTTCTACCTCTGTAGTTAGATAAACAGAGAGCTTAAACCTGCCAGGCCACCAGTCATCTAGCACATAAAAAAGCTAAAAACAGAATAAGCTTTTTCAATATAGCATTCAGGAACAATTTTGCAATTGTTGGGAAGGAATCTAGCCCATTTGGGTGGCAGGTAAGAGTGCAAAAAGGAACTATAGAAAGAGCTATGCTTGAATGATATGCCTCAAGAAGAACACTTGAAAGCACAGCCTTGGAGAGGAGGAGCCTAGCGATCCTTAGGACCATGCTGTGTGAGTAGGGCTTTTCTTCAAAAATATTGGTGAGTCCTACCTCATTACAATAATGCCTGCTCCTATTTTTTTTCAGGCATTCTCAGTCCTGTAATACATATCGTATCAAAAAATCTGGCAGGAGAATTTGTACTGGAATAGTATTTCCTGGAATATAATGGAAAGTAAATACAAATTAAAATGAATTGCAGCTACAGGGAGTGAAGTATGTGCTATATTAGCAAAAGCTTTTAAAAAAAAAAAAACCCGGTGCCTGGCCTGGGCCCTTTTCCGCAAGGGGGTTAATAAAACAAGCTAAGATGAGTTTGAAAAATCTTAAGCTACCATCAGGAGCTATCAGTCTCCACATTTTCAGATAATGAATGTAAAATTATTTCAGTGGAAAAAATGACTGCTAAATTACAATATTATAGTCATTATTCTAGCATTATACTGTTAATTGCAGCAAATTACTTTGTGTAAGTGAAAGGCTTTTCAGTCAACAAACAAAATGTAATGCTTTACTATGTGCCTGTATTCAAGTACTAATTAAATTCTACCCAATGAAAAAGGTGTTTATAATTTGTACTTTAAAAAAAAAACATATTTTAGGGAGAGTAGACAAAAGCAGTGGACAAAAATATTTTTATAAAGAATTGAAAGTAAACATGAATGTATACCCCTAAGCTAGTGTGACATTGGTGTTTTCAGTGACTTAGTTCTGCTCAAGTAAATCCTGAATGCTTTTGACAAATGAAATGAATCTGTCCTGCTAGAACACTAGTAATATATTTACGTTTTTGCTGACTTTTAATCATTCTAAAATGTCTTCAAGCATTTCAGTTTAGTTCTTTGCTACTCTGTGCAGTAAGCATTATATTTATGATGGGTTATAAGTGACTATTTAATGCTTCATTTCAGCTTGTGTGTATTGAACAGCTGTTTTTCATCGTAGGAAGATGGAATACTGAACACAACCTTATGTCAAAACAGCTTTTGTTTAGTACCAGTGCATCAAGCTGTTAGTTCTTCATTCTAAGAAAAGGCAGTCCCTATTTAATTCCAAATTCTTTCCAGCCAAATTTGAGAGGATGTGGATTGACAGGAGTTTTTCCTAGTTGGCTTTGATTTTATACAGTGAACATACTTATGCTGGGATATGTTGCTTTATCTTTGCAGCCCCTGACTTTCTTGAGCCTAGGAAATGCGTATCTGGCTCTGAACAACATTAGTGGAGCCTTGCGGGCCTTCAGACATGCACTGGATTTGACCACCAAGTGCTTGGAGTGTGAAAGCAGCCTGAAGATGATCCGCTGTTTGCAGTTTTATCCTTTTCTGTACAACATCACCTCTTCTGTGTGCAGTGGTAAGCAACTGCTGAAAGATGGACCACAAGTGGAATAGTGTCTGTTTGCCTTGGGTGTTGCACCTGAAATTCGTGATTACTCTACTTTTTTCCCAAGGATTCTCCCATTTGCTTTGTAGTGCCTTCTCCCTATAAGGACCAAGGTTGAGGCACTGCTTTTAATGGAAAAGTTACAGTCCATTAAGAAGTGCTTGAGGATGACCTCTTAAATGTCTAGAGGGCTGCCACTGAGTGCGAATTACTTCCTGAGTGTGTCAGTAATACCTTAACAGTCTCACCGGTATCTCTTATTAGTAAATGAGGAATGCTGCATTCAGTATTTATGAAACTACACAGTTACTACTGCTAGACTACTCAACAGCCCCTTTGTACATCCCTTCAAATTTTACAGTCAGATGGATATGTTTTCTTGAAGATGAAGAATTTGGTGAAGAACAGTTTAGTTTTAATTCATATCCTTTCAGTGTGTTCAGTACCTTAGATGTAACTTTTTAGTGTTCAGTCTTTACAGAATAGACTATATTGTGTCAACGTTATTTTGTTTATATGGGGTCTGTGGTCATGGCTCTTAACCCTCCAAAAATCTGTAAGAAGAATGACTTTGAACCCAATCTCTTCCCAAAAAATATTTCAAAATATTTGAGATAGTATGCTTTATTGTCCTTACTGGCTACTTGTATAAAAAAAAACCCAATAATAGCTTTTGGAGATGGATTCTTTCATTTCAGTGAATCCCACTGACTATTTCAGGTATTTTGTCTGTATTTGCATATGGCTAATATGCTGTTCATGAGTAATCTTGAACATTTATGAATACATTTTGTAATCCCTTCTCTCTCATGTTGTTACTAAGGTATCTTTCCATCTAATCTTTCCTTTGTTTTTAAATGAAAACCTCGCATCAGAGAAGTGCTTTTGATTTTTAGTATTGCTAGGACTTCCTCTGAATTATTTTTTTTAATTCCCTCTCCAGTGGAAAGACATGGAGAAACCTCCTCTGATTTAGCATCTAGAATTACACTGTCTAAACATAGACTAGAGGCCATCGTATCTCCTGGTGCAATATGGATGATGCCATTGTAGGTGAAATTCCAGGACTATGCCATTAGAAGAATATTATCTTTCATGGCCTTATGCATTTTTGCTCTGATTGGTAGCACATTAGTTGTGCAGAGAAATGAATACTGTTTGGCTAAATGTAGTGTAGTAAGTGGTATTGCGGCCCAACTGATGGGTCTCTTACTGACTTCCGTAATGTCAACTCTTACACCGGTACCTTTCATTGAATCTCTTAACATCAGACTGCCCTTCTTTTAAAAATCCCAACAGATACCGTAAACAGTAGTGGAACTTGCATATTTTATCACAAGAGACGCTTTCACTGTTCTGGGAAAAGATTCAGTGTTTGTTTACTTATTATTAAGATCTTCTTTAAAAATAGCTGTAACTCACAAGGTTAAAGTTGTTCGAGACAAACCTTAATGATAGCCACTCTATTTTGAAGTTAAGCAGAAAGTAATTTAAAAGTATGTTTGCAGAACTGAGATGGTAAGGAGCAATGGCTGTACTTGAACCTCAAAGTGATCTTTTACATCTTTCTTTTCTTTTGTATGCTTTTCTTCCTTAAACATATCATAATACTTAAAAATACACTTCTCTAGTTTGGCTGACTCTTGGCTGCTATTTGCATTAATTCCTTATCCAGTATGTTCATTTTGAGGTCAACTATTACTGCATATCCTGTTTAGGAAGTTTGTCTTTCTTGAATGTGAGGAGACACCCGTATCAAAAGTGCTTATGAGAAAAGTGTTATCTTTCCTTTTTTGCTAGCTTGGCTACAGGTTAACAAAGTGACCGTGAATATATTCATCTGGTACATTGGGGTTGGTTTTGTTTGTTAAGGAATCTGTAAAGCTGCTAATCAAGAGAGACATGAATATGCCTTAGTATGTTAATTTGCTCATTAAATTTCAGTATTCCAGTATTTAAGTATTTTACTCTATATTTTTGCCTTTTTCTGGGACTCTTCCTGTCTTAATATTTCTTTCTTTTTCATTTCTATTTATAATATCCTTTAGGTCATCTTTTGTCTGAGTGCAAGAAACCTGAAAGTATGAACCTGACAAATAGTGTAAATGTTCCTTGTATGTTCTTGTGCAGAGTGTAAAATAAACATACTGGTTAATTCAACCTTGATGATGATTTGTGGTTTAAGTCAAAACTCAGAATTCAAAAATTGAAAGGTAGATTTGCCTATCTTACTTTCATAAGGTTTGGGGAAATACTTTTTTCCCTGCTGTAAACTTCAACAGACTTGAAAGGAACCTTGACAGGCTGTATGAATGTGAGGTTAAGTCTTCAAAACCTGAATTATTTCAAGAATATGTACCCAGAAATCACACTTTGTGCGTACAAGTATCCTGAAATTTCGGTACCCTTCTGTTCATCCTTCAGTCCAAAGAAAACAATTGAAAAGAGATTGTAAGTTTTTGAATTTTCAACCACTACATAGAGCCTAAAACATGCAAACTGTATTTAGATGCTAATATTTAACATTACCTGTTGCACTTATAGCATTTGTTAAAATGTTAATATCATATAGGCTTATTCATAATGCAACATAATCTGCTCTTGTTTGGCTCCATGGCAGACTGGAAGGCACATTTTGATGTCAAGATGCAAACTGAACACTACTTTCACACACCTTTCTGAATGGGACTTTAGGTATACAGCTAATGCAGCACATTTGTCAATACATGGATCAAATGTATGCTTAATAATTCCGGTATCACTGGATTGTTACTTGAGATTTTCACAGCCTTTCAGATCATGTGTTGCAGCTTGAGGACATCTGATACTGAATTTAGTTTGTCCTCTTGTTATTATGCACTTGATGGCATGTCATAACTATTTATATCCTTTGAGATGGATATGTTACGCTGAAAAATTTACCAAGAAATTGAAATGTCAAATGTTGGCTCTGGTTTAACATCTTGTTTTGATAAGCATTCATTCAGTATTTCTGAAAGTAACAGCAGTAGGGCTGCCTGTGCTTTGGGTTGTAGGCCCATGTGATAGCTGTGTTTTTTGCTTCGCCTGTCAAAAGCCTCTGTTCACGAGAACTGAACTAACTAGCGAGACATGGACTTCCTTGCTGTGCTGCCGTGAGCAGAATCCGGCAAATGGTCAGTGGGAGTTATATGCTAGCATGGGATGGAATAGGGGATCAAAAAAACTGAATTTACAGTCTGATTTCTGATTACGGTATATGCCTAGTGTATATCTCAAATAGGTGAAACAGGAATTTTCTCAAGCATGTTGGTTCATTTGCTGTTAGCACAGGACTTTGGAAGTGTCGTACACTAATGCTGACTTGTTGGATGCTTGCTTATATGCTCCTGTCTGTACTGCTGCCTGATACATTTTTTTTTTCCTAACTTACCTCTGTTCTAGATAGAAAATTATATTTCAAACCCAAGTCACTTCATGCAGGTGAGAAGAGAAATTAAAAACTTCAGACCAACAGTTTTCTATTTTAACTTCTGCCACCTCCATTGAAGTTTATATAAATGTTTGTTTTCGTTGTAAAAGGATGTCTAAATCTGCAAAGGTTTTTGGTGGGCTTTTTTCTTATGGAGGAGCTGTGTGAAGTGTCCAAAATTCAGTACAACTGTATCACCTATGACATGTATTTTAGGCAGCTGCAGGAGTTCAGTCAGTTGCAACTAATACGGATACTATACAGCAACAGTGCTGCAGTGCTATGTGTGCCTCTGTTACTTGGACCAACACCCCACATACTGCCTTATTCCCAAATAACTGAGAAAATAGTTGGAAGACTTCATTGCTATGGGATTATCCTGTGGTGGTCCTTCTAGAGGTGACTTGGCAGTGTTAAGGGTTTTGCTACTGAATGATCAACTGTTATGTTACTGGCAAATCAGCTCCTGAAGCATGTTAAGTAGCAGAAACTTCATGTTGCTTGACAGACACCTAAGCAGCCATATCTGACACACAAATAACAGGACCACGAGACTTGCGTAACAAGCATAAAAAAACTTAATGTGAAAAATATGGTCAACTCTCAGCTGCAGAAATGAGATACTTTGGCTTTGTGCTGCTCATTAAGCTAGTAGAGAAAGTCAACGTTATTTTTGTCTGATATTGAAATGGTGCGTTGCCAGGATTTGTTTTACACACCTTTATGGCTTAAAAAATTGTGAGTAGCTTTTATCATGTGATAAGGTCTGTAGAGGAATATCCAGCTAATGCCTAAGGGATTGTTCTGTGGCTCTTCATTGGCTGATGTGAATGTTCAGATGTTGCCAAGCCTTATTAAAAAGATTACAGTATACTACAAGCATATTTTTAGTGTAATGGTCAGCTGGCTGTTGAAACATACTGATTTGTTAATTGCTGTTGCGTAGGACTTTTCCGTATGTGTGTAAACAGAATTGCTTCTTGGACAAGCAGAAGTCATTTGTACTCAAAATATTTTTATCTGACTGTAAGCATCTACCTCTGACTGACAGTTCCAATTCCTTATGAGTTCATGCACTTCACATTCTTTTGGACGAGATCAAAATTCAAAATCTTAAACTTTATTAACAGACTGGTAGTATTCAAAACATGAAGCACAACTTGTTTCAACCTTCAAGTTCCTTTAGTATCACTGTCTTTCATTGCTTGGCAGGATAGTGCTTTTACAAAAAGCTTTGTGCTGCTCTGTTGGAAGTAGAGGCAGTGTGAGTACATTATGAATGTATGTGCATGCCATGAAGGTATCTGAATGCTTTTATGTAGTGAATGTGTATGTGAAAGCAATGCATACTTCCTTACTTTATGACTTAGTTCTGTAATGTATACAGCAGTAGCTTAGTGATCTGCTTTAAGTATGCTTTTAGTGCCCTCTTGTGGTACAAACACCCTATACCACATGAAATCAAAAGTCTTGTTTCATTTCACCTACTTCCTCTTAAAATAAAACATGGGGAAAAGGT